CAGCACGTACTAGCGCCAGTTGAACCTCTAGCGTACATTATAGGGTGTTTTCACTGACGTAATTTCGTCCACCATTTTGTTGTTGTGAACTGTCTGGGTGTGCCAAACTCGAGCATTCCAAGGATTTCCATGCCCCCTCAAATGCGTAGAGCACCGCTGACATCACCTCAATCGGTTACGATGTAATCCTTCAATGTAATAAATTTGTTTGAAAAAACAAACTAACAACAAAATGGCGAATTGACGTCATGTGCAAACAACCTATAATAACTCTATGGCTGCGGGACGACATCGGTGCGAATTTTAAAATTTGGATTTGAGACACGTAGGGTGTCGCGCTGTGCGACCATGAACCCAAACAAAAAAATATACTTAGAGCCACTAAGTATACCCAGCTTGCCAAGGACAACAGTCCTGAGACGAAGTTGTGTGGTTGTGTCCTGAAAAATGCTACAACAGGCCAAGGACCAGAACCGACGTCGCCGACAGCAGTTTCTGTAAGCTCGGTTGTCTCGGAACACGGTGAGACAAAAACACCCCGTGAACTAAGTAGTACCAATGAAACCAGAAGCGGTCACAGTACTGGGCCAGTTAGTGAAGACACAAGTGATAAAATTGTGAAAGTGACGGGAGATTTGAAGACCAATTTCCTGTCCAAGTTTCCGAAAAGGCTACTGCCAAAGACGAATGTAACGAGTCTGACGTACCCTGTTTCGGCTGGCCTTCATTTTAATTGGACGCAAAATGAATTGGGCTTTTGAATCTAGAAAACTTCATTGCTGGAGTGTACACTCTTCCCGGCATCAAGGAAAACTACAACATTGGGAAGCCAGAAGCCAAACTAAAGGCCCAAACTGCCAACAAGCGCGTAAAATACCTTTCAAAAAGGAACTTCCTTGCTCAACTACAAAGTGGAAAGCGCTGCCTGACAATTACTGTGCGTGAAACAAGGTGCAATCATAATTTCGGGAAGGTCATCCTTATTTCGCGTGTGTGTGTGTGCATTTTATGTGCTTTTTTTAATGACTTCTATGGTGTCAATAATTATCGGATGTTATTCGGCACTACCGGCTTTTCTTTTCTGTTAATAAAAAGCATGCCCACGATAGAATGTGCACGTGATCTGCCGCCCCAGAACGAGCGCGTAGCCTCTGGCTCAAACAGGATACGTTCACATGGCAAAATGGAAGCCTGAAGTATCGCATTTTTTCGCCAACTCCGCCAAAGTTTTAAAGTCCCGACGTCGGAAGTCGGAGAGCTTTGGACCAATCGTGAAAGATGATAACAGGATTTTTGAGTCAGTGTTATTCTGTTTTTGACCCGGTTTTACTCTGATTTGCTCGGTTCTGGAGCGAAATTTATACAAAAACGAGAACGTTCCGCTCCGAAACCAGGTAAAACTGAATAAAACGGAGCAAAGTCTAATGTGAATACATAATCCAGTTGGTGCAATCGTTTACGCTATTACTGTTACTGAAACATCCTGGAAAACAAAAGGACAGAATACACCGCTAAAACTGCAGAGTTCCGATGATACCTGAATTTCGTGGCTTGCCTATATATAATTATTCATGAATCTTGTGCATACTATATGTGCACACACAATGTTCCCGTTCCCCATAGTCTTTTCTCTATGTTTTACTGGCAGCCGCATGTTTTATAATACGAAGGAGGACAGTACGTAATCAGGAAATTCTAAAACACGTGACAAAAAAGAGTTCATATTCACTTTATTAACTGAATGTTTTATTTAATTAGTGTCTACATGGCCCAACCCAAGCTATATAGCTAAAAAAAAATGTTTATTTGACAGAGAGGAACCCATCGGGCACGCACGTATCTGCACGGGGGGGGGGGGGGGGGGGGAACCATGGGACCCCCCCCCCCCCCCCCTCCTTCCAAATCTTTCATTTGGTGGGGCCTCCTTTCCCCCCTCCCCCTCATACAGTATTTTGTCATGGGCGAATCAAAATCCTGGCTGCGTGCCTGCCATCGGCTATATTTGCGGCAAAAATTATTTTCCTGTGCTCAAAACATAAAACTTTAGTATACAACAACTCTAATTTCTCCACTAAGCATACTGTTTAACCTGATAGATTTCAAGTTCTCCATGATCCTCATCTCAAATGGTCCAATAGAAATTCCCAGTCGACCGTTAAAAGTTCTCGATTTGAAATGCATTTCATTTGACCAATGAAGCTTTCAGTTTAACCGGTACAACTTCTTATTGCACCTATTGAAGGACCAATATGCCCTTGTATTGGACCGGAAGACATTCGTGTTGTTCCGATAGAAGTTTCTACGTGTCCCACAGAAGTTCCTAATGGTACAAGAGAAGTCTGCATTGGTACGATATAACTTTTTATCGGCCCAGTAGAAATGCCCATTGGTACGATGAAATCCTATTGATCCCATAAAAATCTCTATCGGTCCCATAGAAACTTTTTGCTAGTGTGTGTTAATTTGGCAATCGAGCATTGCCACTGCCATACAGCACCGAGTTCGCTTCTCTGCTGTGCATGGCTCATTGCTATCTCCCGCACAATGGCTCTGCCACATAGCGCCACTGGCTGCAATGAGCGGCTATGAGCAAATTGATTGTCGTGCACATTGACACAATTGGCATCATGGCGCTTGCCCCCTAAAGTTGACTTTCCCTCGACCTATTCTTTTGCCTTCCCCCGTGCTGCGGCTTCTCTGCAGCATTTCCAGTTGCACCAATGTGCAAAACATCGGAATTTCTCATCGGCGCTAATTGCACATTCATGCTCATAGGTTTTGGCTGTGCATTTCAATTGGAAAAGGCCTGCCATTTCCAGCAGGGTGGTTAAGTATTGTAATTAGCAGCCGATACTGTCGCCGCGAAGCGGCGTGAACGCAGGCGGGGGGCTGTGTTAACGAGCTCCCATGTGATACACGCGCCGTTCGAAAAGGGTGGCCTCAGCGGCATTTGCTCTTCGCGGAGTGCGTATAGCCATTTCGTCCGAGGTGCACTCCGGAGTACGTATAGCTTTACTCGAGAAAAACGGTAATTGCAAAAAGTTATATTTCGTCTGGACGCACGAAACAAACAAAATTCCTGATCAAGAACACTGATGTAAAGGCCCAAGCTCGATGATTCGTACACAAGCAAGATCCCCGAGCTTCGCAACGTCGAGATTCCCACCACTGGCTCGTCCACATACCTCGAAACGCTAACAGAGCGTCTCAAGTACAAAAATACAACAAGCTATACGTCTCGAGCTTGTGTCAATGCTTCGAGGTCCGGCCATTTAGGTTAGTTTAGAGACCACAAATGACGCTCTCGGGACCAGAAAACATGAAATAACGGCCGTTAATAGTCCACGCTCTGTGTATAATCTTTTGCCGACGTGTCGATCGCAAACGAAACCATGCCACTCTCCTCCAGGCCAACTAGTTCCCAGAGTTCAACGCGCGCCGTGTTGCATGCAGGGATTTATGGAAGTACTTTTACCGCTAAATTTAGCGGGGAAAATTTTTTACCCCGATAAACTTACCAGGGAAATTTTTACGCTAAATTGAACGGAAACGTTTTTGTTTGTCACGTTTTCATTTGGTTTTAATTTTATTTTTAATCTTTAGTGAGAGCAAGATACGCATTTATCTGCATAGCCCATTCTTTTAATAAAAGCTTACAAATTATTATTTTCCTATTTTGATGTATAATATTTTCTCGTTTTTTTCTTTTGTATCTATACTGCAAAATTCGTCCTTCCCCCTTCCTAGATATTAAAAACGTCAGTTGTTAGCAGCGTTTTTTTCCGGTCTCTGTCTTCTTGCGCTATCTTTCGTTCACTATGAAGCTTCGAGTCTCAGCGGGTGAACGGAGTATAGCGAGGCGTTATTGTCGACACCTGTCACGATCTACGCAGCGCGCCTCACGCGAGCCGCTCAGGTCCCACCCATACGTTCTAACACAGCTGTTGTGATAGGGACACATCTGGCATGAAGCCAGTCGCCCACCGTACACAGAAATCCTGGGTTCAATCACCCCCGCCCGTTTCAGTCTGGAAGATCACTGTACAGCACTGAAACAATTTCTCATCTACAGCGTGTACGAATGTCGCCAAGACTTTATCAGGTTCAACCATAGGCTCATCTCACGCTGTCTAAACATCTAATGACAAATTCTACTTTTGAGGGAAATAAATAAGAAAACGATATAAGTGGCCCCCAAACAAGCCGAGAGACTAAAGTGCTGCCAGCATGGGGACTGCTTGACACATTTCCGTCGGTTGCGTCCATGGCAACCAAAGCGAGAGCAACGACAGCGAACCCGGAAGAAACGGATTCGCTACCTCTTGCATTAATTTGTTCCAATGGCTACTTTTGTGGAGGCCAGTCGAATGACAAACCAGATCACTATTTACGAAGGACGTTGTTGGAGAAGGAGCCGGCCAGCGCTGCCCGTCACTTGCCCGAATGCCCGAGCTGTTCGCTACACTTTCATGTCGCTTGCTCTCGAGGCAACCGACATGAAACTGTAGAAACCAATGATAATAAGTACTCCCCCCCCCCCCCCCCCCCTCAAAAAAAAAAAAAAAAAAAAAAAGGAAGCTTGATTTGATTTATTAATTTATTTATTTTCGGGTTGTTTATTAGGATTGCTTGCGTTATCACGGAACACGTCAGTTGATGAATATACAATTTCTAGTCCTAGGACTAGGAGTATTGCCTCTGTCTAATTCCTATTAGTCACCAGCAAGCGTACAAACTAACGAAAAGACTACCGGATGGGTGAGCGTAAACGAGCGCAAACAAAACCGAAACCTATTTTCTGACTTCCGGATCCTGTCTGCTTTTATTGTGAAGAAAGATGCAAAAGTGTCAAATTTATCTTAAATTTCTAGTTGAAAGTGATTAAACTACTCAAATAAATGCTGAATAAATTATTTTATTGTAAATTATTGTTAAAAAAAAGAAGAAGTTCACAAGTTACTGCGGTATTTCCGAATGCGTTCGCTTTTCTCGTCGTCAATGCCAGGGGGCACCACGGAGCGCAAGAAACGAAGATGGCGTCTGGTTCCTCGCGTGTGCTGCCGAAAGGTGTGCGAGATTTTTTAAAGGGGTAAGTGTTCTGGGACCCTTCATTTACACGTTTTCCGTTTAACGTGTTTCTAATTTGTTATCTATGGGATATTTTGGAGTGACTTGTCCCCTGCAGCATTCCGCTCACCCTTACCGCGATGCAGTTCACGCAGCCTAAGTGACAAATCTAGGGAGGATGATTTATTCCTATCCGAGAAAGCGCACGTAATCCCAAGTTTCCGCACGTATTTAGTATATATTTTAATAGTACGTTTATCCGACACTTGTCGGATCCTGCGCGAAGCCTCCCGCGCTATCACGTCGCTGCTACTTTCTAGTCCCCGCCGCGCGAGTCTGCGGTTGATCTACCTTCTCAAACCGAAAGCTCTAAAACGCTATATGCGATTAATAATAAATAATAATAATAATAAAAAAAAGAAGGAAACGCAGTTTCTAAAGTGCCGTACGACGGCGCTCTTGCGGAGCGTTCAAGTGCCGTCCGACGGCACTTTACGGCCGCTGCCGAGTGCCGACCTACGGTGCTCCTAACCAGCAAATGCCGTTCTTTAATGAAGAATCATGAATGTCTTGCTTCTGGCACTTTGTGGTCGAAATTAGAATGCATACCTCCTCTGCACTTCTTCGTGTAAAAATTGATAATTATAATGATACTCCGATTCCGTAAAACTTTCTTCATAACAAATAATATCTGAATACCAAAGAAATACACCCCTGGCTCGTTTCAATGGCGTAATGGTTAGCATGCCTGGCTAGTAGTCCATGGTCTCAGAAATATTTAAATTGAATGCTGCGTGCCCTTATTGTTGTAACTGGAGAATGTGAGATTTAGACTCAAATTTAAGTCACACTCGCAACCTTCGAGAGCGTGCCATTTCAGCAAACTTGAAGAAATTGCACGCCTGAACAGCGCAAGCGTAAACATATAAGAAAGCCTGCTGCTCGCTCCTGTAGCGTTTGTCTTGCTCACACTTTATGTTAAAACATATTGTTGGTGAGTGACTGATAAAATACATGCCGGAATAAGTGCAGCCTAATCTCAACATTTTCGGACGGCACTTGAAAGCGAAAGTGCTGTCACACAGCACTTCAACGCTCCACAAGAGTGCCGTCAAAAACACTCTAGACACGGCATAAAAAAAAAAAAAAATGGTAGTGACAAACGTGTAGCAGTGTAGTGTGAGGTAAGTCTATAGTTTGATAATGCGCCTGATTCTTTCGGATACATTGGGTCAATGTGACAATTCCAGTACAGTGGCTAGCGATATGAGCTAGATTGCGCAAACAGTGACGAGGCAGCACAGAACATGCGGTCTAGGAGGCAGCGAGTGGAGGTGTTTAAATGTGTGTACCTACCCGCCACTCGCGGAATCTCCCTACCCCTGACGCACGCATGGCAGCCGCGCAACAGCGCAGTTTGTACTGCCTGGTCGGTGTTTGCGCAATCTAGCTCACATCGCTAGCCACTGTACGTCTTTGTTAACCGGAGCTCTCCATCGAAGCTCGTCCTACACCTTGAGAGAGATTAGAATTTTTGACAGTGTATTGAAATGATGGTAACCAGCACCGTGGAAGGGCAGGAGAACAATCTTAGTTGGTTGATGTCACGAGTGGCGCTCCCTTACGTCACCATCGTCATTGAAACACGACTCACCGTGATTGCTAGAAGCTCATCGGCACGCAAAAAGTCTGTGAACTGTTGTGACGACTGGTACTTAAGAGAGAGTAAGAGCTTGCTACACTTCCTCTTTGTCTACTTTGTCGTAAAACTATTAGGGAAAACCAATAGCTGGATTTACAAAAGAGAATTTGGCAAAATGACAATGCTGTAAATATGTTTAGACCCGAGAGATGTTACATCCAGTCGTGCAACGTGATTTTTCGCTCTGAATTTAGCGGGGAAACTGAATTGGTGTCGAGGTCGCGTGACATCGGGCCTCCTCGCTAAATAGGTTACCGGCATTTCAGCTTGAAGTTTCGTCATACGAAATGAGGCGCCACGTGACTTCACGCTTCCGGTTCGTCCGGTGCCTTTCGTGGTTCGTTCAGCTGCATCGAGAGCCCTTCTAGGCATGGTGGCCGGGCTGTGTTTGCGGTGAAAGTGGTTCACTGCTCTGTGGTACTTTGCTCTAATGCAAGCCATAAAGGGCATGAGATCTTCTGGTTTCTGTGAAACCAAGAACGGAAGCAGCGAAGGGGCCGTTGCTGTTAAGCGAGCGACGGAGCGAGGTGACCTGTCGCGCAGCCAAGCGTCTGTGCCCGTTTATGCATGGCCCACTTTTGTTGGAGGCCAGTACAGCATGTTCCTTTTTTTTTTTTTTTTTGGGTAGGGGCCGCTCGAAATAACGATTTCTAATAAAGTTTGTTGACAGCCAGGATAAGTTCTCGATTAATCCGCGAAGGGGTGAGCACTGCTTGTTGTACAAGGCATCCGCGCGAACACGGGATGCGATCTCCCAGGCAATCAGTTCATCGCACGACGTTTCGTCGACAGACAGTCTGATCGATAGTTCGTTACCTCGAAAGATCAAATTGGCTTTTTCAGTAATGAGCCATTGCAAACTTTTGCCGCCAAGCGGCGTGAATGGGTGGGCCGGGTCAGACAGGTGGGCCATGCTCATGAATGTTCAGTGTCGATGAAGCTTGGGTCGATGAAACGGTTCGGGTCCAAGTAAAGGCACCCCTTCACGCAGAAGTATTTAGTTTACATTCACTGTACACAAAATCCGAGGTGCAATTGTTCCCAGCTAGCGGCAGAGGGTGGTGGTTGGAATTGATTGGTTTAAACACCCGCACATGCTTTTGTAGCCTCCACAGTGCTGCGCCGGCTGCTAGCTACGAAACAGAAATGAGAGTACCCATAGTTCTTTGCAGCTGCTGCCAACGCCGGTTATCTGTTTAGCAGCCTAGCCAAATGCTGTCGCAGCACCCTTGTCCATTCTGTGACCTGCACTGCCCTCTGGTATGTGACAGTGAAAATTCATTGCCACGGCCATCTACATTCCCATCTCTTGATTGTCTAGAGTGTGGACCTAGACCCAGACGCGGGAGCCTAGCTAGGCAGACCACCTCGTTTGTGCTAGAGTTGTGTATCAAAGGCACCCTCCGTGCCTTTGTCTGTCCCATAAATGTTTGTGATGTGGCATTTAGCAAGCACGCTTACACATACGTACAGGAAGTGAGGGAAGGGAATGAGCACCTACTTCAGAGGAAATGAGGGGGTGCAAATTAGCGGGATCCAAATCAGGGTATGCGACTGCAATACCTGCGCACACTACGTTCCACTCCCACTTTAGCGCCAGCCTTGCCCGGGCTCTCTTTCAGAGACACTTCGCGCGACAACAATCATGCCGTCGAGGCATAAAATGCGCGCCAAGTTTGTCCATGCAACGTCGCTGCAAACCAACGCGCAATACCGCGTTACCACTCCTCTTGCACGGTAGCACGTGCAAGGGGGCAAAATTTTCAAAGTGCTTCGGCTCCCAATTAACACACGCCACCTTTTCCTCTCGGCTCTGCAGGCGACGGACGTTCTCCCGCCAGCACACAGGGTGCGCGGGCAGGCGCGCCCTGTGCACGTCCAGTGCGGTTCCCCCCAAGGACGAGATCACCAAGATCTCGCTGTCGGAGCCCCTCCCGGGCTTTCCCCAGCCCGTATATGCGGTGCCTTCCCCCCACGACCAGGCCACCGAGGTGACCACCCTTGAAAACGGGCTCAAGGTGGCCTCCCAGAACAAGTTTGGACAGTTCTGCACCGTGGGAGGTGAGAGGTGGTGGTGTCGTCACCTGCACTTTAGCCGTTGGGGGCTTGCAGAATGGTTCTGCAACGTTCGTAGCATCCACATTGCATGGAACAACCACAATATTTTAAAGTTCTTCTTCATCGAGGCTAGGGTTCTTTTCGCTTATTTATGGCATTGAAATCGCGAGGGTGACCTGCGCCGCAACGGCTCTTTTTACGGCTTTGAAGTGACACTGTGCTATTTGATTGTAACAATATTCATACATTCCAAACGTAACTATGTACGAATACTTCATGCATAACTATGTACAAAGGTCGCACATAGTTACGTAAGGATGTGGCTTTGCCCAATCGAGCGCCAACCCATTAATCCAGCATCTTTAGTTCACCTGGTGGCACCACCTAGTTGCTATGGCGCTCGTTACGTAGGGTTACATGAGGCCCGATGTTCATTCATTTAAATCTGTTGTGTAATCCCGTAAGAATGCCCAACCAAAATGAAAAGGTAAACAGTAAAAAAATATGGGGTGGAAGATCTCAAAAATTGGTGGTAAACAGCGAGCTACCTGCTAGAAACAATGTGATGCAGGAACCAATACCGCAGGTCGCAAATGTGGCAGATTCGTGTTTCAGGGTGCGATAAACGCGCGGGAACCTGCTACAAACTCATTTCACGGAAACCAATGTTGTGCACACAGACAGCGAGCACAACACGCAAAGCCCACTACAAACTTGCGTGACACAGAAATGGATACCGCAAATCAGGACACAGCAGATTCACCTTTCGTGGTGCGACGAGCACGCGGGTACCCGCCTGGAACTCGCTCGTCACATGTACCAGTGCAGTAGACCATGCAGTTGACATCCGACGAGAATCGGGCATTGGTCAATGTTTTGGGATTTTTATGTTAAGGATATTCAGCCAGAAAGGCGGGAGGGATAATCTCACGGAGGAGGATGTTCCTACAGAATTTTACGGCTAGTGAAGATTTTCTTTTTTGTGGTATTCGATACCTTGTGTTGGTGCCAATGTGAACAAAAACGCACATGCCGCTTTCTTACATGTACTTGTGTGTACCGTAAAATATCAGGCAAGCGCCCATTCAAATTTTGGAAATAATTACAAAAAAATGGGGGATGCGTGCTTGTCCGCTTCAATTTTACATATATAAATGTACTGTGCATATTTTCTCAAACCTTAGAAATTCGATAATGGGCGCTTAATGTGGTATGGGCGGATGCGTGGTATTCTACGGTATGTTCGAGCTGGCATCATCAGTAGCACGATAAACCAACTAGCTCACTTGAAGCCTTTTGCGTGTTTGATGCTATTCTCCTCATAATAACACTGATGGGGAACTACTGTGTTTTTCCGAAGTATAGCCTGCACCCTTTGTATAGTCTGCAAGCGCAAGTTTTGGTCTAAAAATTGTTTTTGTTTAGATAGTCGTCTGTACTAATTGTTTACTTTATTCATAGCTTACTTCTATTAAAACTGGTAAGCTGTTTGTTCCTAGCACTCCAGACTGACTAGTAAAACAGTATGTACGAATGTTTGTCTTGTCATATTTTTTTGGTTTTCATTAATTATAGTTTTTGAACTAACCATAAGGATCCTGAATGTTCCTCTTCAGTTTGGAAGCATAGTGACCGTCGTTCCTGCAAGACTGTGCAGCTACATTTTTACCGGTAGTAAGGATATTGCAACTGCAAGAAGTGGCTGTTTATGCCATCAAGATCAAGCTAGTTTCACCCCGTGTTCAGTTTGAGTGGAGTTACTATGTGCGTCACCCAGGGCCGTACCCAGAAAAAAATTTTGGGGGGGGGGGGGGGGGTTTTCGGGGACAACGGCGGCCATTTTGAAAATGTCTATTGTCTTATTTTCGCCTATGAATCATGTGCATCGGTGGCATATAATGGAGAGTTACAGCAAACCGGAGAACCGGTCCCGGTTTGGTACCCGGTAGCCAACCGGCGCCACTGCGCGTGCGCAGAGGTGGAGATTAAAATCGGCTGGCTGCCAGCGCACCGACCAGGGCTGTACCCAGAAAAAAATTTCAGGGGGGGTCAGAACCCCCTAACCCCCCCCCTGGTTACGGCCCTGGCGTCATCCACATGTAACTCCACCCAAACTGGGTGAAAGAAGCACACTGACAGTCTTAGCTTTTAAGGAGCATGATCTTGACTACCGCAATGGACAACGACTGCACTGATGACAATCATAGAACATCAACTTTCATACACGCATACCATAAAGTTCTGATAGAATGCTCGCCCCCGAGAGATCGGCCATAAAGTTTTTCTGGTTAAATATCTGTAACATAAAAATTCGAAAACATCGCCCATCCCTCGATTCCGGTCAGACACCACACAATGTCCGACGGGAATCGCATTAAATGTGCGATTTGCTGTACCGGCACGTCTGACAAGCGAGTTCGTAGACGGGTTCCCGCGTTTTTGTTCGTGATCTGTGCATTCGTTATCGGCTCCCGTAACACGCGAGTTGTTCCCACGTGTATGTTGCACTGTGAAATGCGAATCTGCTGTGTCTACAATCTGCGGTATCCGTTACCGTGACATAAGTTTGTAGTGAATTCACGCGTCTTTGTCCGCGATCTGCGCGTGTGATCTCGATTCCACGAGAGTTGGTCCCGTGGTCCCGCTTGTATATCGCATCGTGAAATATGATTCTGCTGCGTTCGCAATCGGAAGCATTTGTTCCTGTAATATACAAGTTTGTAGCAGATTCCCGCGTTTTCGTCCGCGATCTGCGTGGTCTATATCGGCTCCCGTGACAGGCAGATTTGTAAGGGGGTCTTGCGTGTTTATTCCAGCTTAAAACCTGAATTTGCTGTGTCCGCGACTTGCAATATTCGTTCCCGTGAAATGAGAGTTCTCGGCGGGTTTTTGCGGGTCCTTCGCACGGTAAAGCATAAATCTGCGGTTTCCTTTCCTGTGACACGGGAGTTCGTAGCGAATTCCCACGTGTTTTATCGCATCGTGAAAAGCGAATTCGCGGTGACCGCGATCTGGAGTATCAGTTCCCGCGTCATGTAGTTTGTGGCAGGTGCCCAGTGTTCATCATTTATTTTTTATGAAGTTTTCCTGTGGCGTCTTTAAAGATAGCCCTTCCCATGTTTTTCACCATTTACCTCTTCATTTTAGGTGGGCGTTCTTTCGGAAGTTTACAGTAGTTTGCAAACTACAATTTAAAAAAATATGGCAAATTTTGATAGGGATGAGTCTACATCTTATTGAGAGTTGATCTAAAGGAGAGACACACGGAATAATGTATCACAACAAATACAAACTATTTGATACATACATAGCTGATTCGGATCATAGGATCAATAGGTAAGCGGCGTTTAGCCAGTCAGCCATTTCTTTAAATATCCGGTTCCTTTTGTTTCACCAATCAAAAGTGGTGTTTTTGCTAGCAATGCGCTCGGCCAAGTGTAGGATCGGAAAAGTTCCAGGTCTCAAACTAAGGTGTCAGATTAATCCTCGGTCCTCCACTGGGGTGTGCCAGGTGCCCATTGTCAGTTTTGCACATAAGACCCCCAAATTTGACTTTCATTTTGGTAGGTCAGTGTAGCCCCTACGGCTGGCCATAACGACCTGCTATAGGGCAACCAACAGTGGCCTAATCTTCAGCTGCCTAAGCCTAAAAGAGGCAGCCTGTTCAGCCAGTGATGTTTCTCAATGCTCTTGCTGGCCTCTCTGCTCTGCTGCAGTGGTGATCGATTCTGGCTCGCGGTACGAGGCCCCCTACCCCAGCGGCATCTCGCACTTCCTGGAAAAGCTCGCATTTAACGTAAGTTGAACCGCCCGCCCGCGAAGGTCGCGCCCACTGTATGGGGCATGCATCGAAGAGCGGGAGCTGTGAAAGCTATGTGGTTAGCTAGTAGAATGTTTGTTCTTCTAAAGAAGCTTCTTTTTCAGCTGCATTCATAATTTGGGCATGGTATTAGTTGTGCGTGAAATGTGCCTTTGATGTCATTAAAGGAGCTGTCCAACGATTTTAACGTTGAAAGAATTGGCATCCTCTACTGTTGACATTGAGGGGTGGAAGCACTGCGCCAATTGCGCCATTGTGCGCCAATCCACTTTTGCTGCGCCATCCTGCTCCCAAGCGCACATGTTGGGCCAAAACTAGCCAAACAAGTTTTTTTTTTTAGGGCTATATTTATTGGAGTATTTTTTTTTATTGGCCACAGTGGTTTACCGTGTTGTGTTTGTCTAGGTAATTCTGAAAGTAATCTGAAAAAAAAATAGGAACTTTTAGCAAACCCTTGCCACGTACAGCGCACTACCGGAGCCTTTGAAGCACGCTTTTAAGCGCACACTTGAGCCATACAGTGACCGCGGGGCGCGCGCTTAAAAGCATGCTTCAAACGCTCCAGTGGTGCGTGGTACGTGGTAACGGTTTGCTAAAAGGCCCTATTGTTGTGAAACCACCATACCGATGTGGTTGTGTCAACGGCGTGTAGGCCTCATCTCCGAAAATGGCACATGCACAGATTGTTTGTCAGAGTACTCATTAGAACTCTGGCAACAACGAGACAATGCTTCAATGCATCATTCACATAATCTTTTTTCTTTTTTGCACAGTGGCACTGAGCATAATTGAGTGTATTTGAAATACGACACTCACGGGCATTAAATCGGCGTAAAATCTCTCACAAACGCCCGCCCCCCAAAAATCGCACATCCCGTTGTTTTTTTTTTTTTTTTAATTTTATCTATTGCGTGATTTGCGGTATCGGTACGCGAGAAGCGTGCTCGCCTCGGGTTCCCTCGTGCTTATCGCTCCGTGACACGCGAATCTGAAGCATCCAAATTCGTTCCTGCACTTTTTTTTTTTGCCTGTGATTTTTGCACGTGATATTGGTTCCCGTGGCACCCGAGTTTGAGGGGGCTGGGTGTGAAGCACGAATGCGCTGTGTCCGTGTTCTGCTGCCGTACCCGTGACAGGGGAGTTCCTAGCGAATTCCCACATACTTATTGCACTCGCGAGTTCGCTGTGTCTGCAATATGTATCAGTAACGAAAAGACAGTGAGTGTGCAGGCGAGCTGGTGATAGTTAATTAGGATGTTTAAAACTCGAGACTGTGGTGAGGGAAAAGTTAAGAAACTTTGAAGTTGAAGAGTTTCCGTTTCACATAGCTTGTAATGCCCCCCCCCTCCCCCCCCCCCCCGACAGATGCACGCACGCACACCTGCACATGCACGTGCGCACACACTCGCACAGAATTTACCTTTTCATTTTGGGTCGGCATTCTTTCAGGACCTTATGGCATATAAATGTACATAAGAGCTTGCTGGCATTTGTTCACCTATCATCTAATTTCTGGGGAAAGCAATAACTACCCTATAAAAGAAACATTTGGCGTAATATATGTTTATTTTTTCGTGTTTGGGGTGCTTTTGCTGAGACTGCTTCCGCGTTCCTCATTCGTGTCGTAAACTCGACATATAAAAGCGATAATTGGTTGCCTCAATCATCTGTAGAGTTCCTTGTTAATGACGTACGTGGCGAATGCACCTGCTGGCACTCGAAACAGCAAGCCGGCGGGAGGACGAGGAGAACAGTGGGAATGTCCTGCTGAGCCAAGTAAATTCTAAACCGTTGTGCTAGAACACATCCAAGCAATGCGGAGAGCAAGTCGTCTGCTTCTTGCACAGGAGATGCGGTGACTTCAGAACGATGCCGAGCTCCCATCGCTCGCCTGGAAAGCCACCGCAGAGAACAGGAGCTACAGCTCCGCTGCTCTTCCTTCTTCACCAGAGTGGGAAGGCTGAAAGTTTTATTTTTAGGTTTTTCATTTTCACACACTTTATGACCGTAGAATGGAAATAAAAACATATTGTATAGCAACTAATGCAAGATGTGCTTCTTCACCGTCGTGGGAAGGGATGTCGCGGAGGCAACAGGTTGCTGCCTCATGGTGCAGCAAATGCGCGGAAAACTGACACAAACTTGGGTGCCACAAGAACCGATATAGTGCGTGGAAATCGCAGACATATAACGCAAGAACCCACTACATACTCGCATGTCGCGAGAACAAGTATCGCGGACGCAACAGATTCGTGCGTCACAGCGCAATAAACAAGAGGGTACCACTTGGAATTCGCTCGTCACACGTAATGGTACCGAAGACGGCGCGGTTGATCCCATTCCCGTTGGGAATTGCACGATATACGATGAGAATCGGGGGGGGGGGGGGGGGGGGTGGGTGCTGGGCGATGTTTTGAAATTTTTATTTATGTTAAGGATGTTCACCCGTGAAAACTAAATGGGCAATCTCTCAGGGAACTGCATTCGCACGGGATTTTACGGTAGTCCGTTGCAGGTCAAGATAAGCGGGACAAGCTTGTCACGCAAAACCGTCCACTCTTTTCAGTTCATAAAACTCGCGCGTGCGCAGCAAAGACGAGGACGAAGGGAAGATGGTACACAAACGAGACGCGGGACACAGACATCTTGTTTGCGTTTCGTCCTCTCCTTGTCCTCATTTTTGCTGCGCACGCACAAGTTTTATGAAATGACCGACCAACTACCCCGAACAGCCACTCTTCTTGAACTCTTTTCACTTTTACCAGGTTGAACGCCAGAGAGGGGACGAGTCCCTTTCCTTTCCGCCGTTCGCTCGGCTAAAGTGGAAAGAGTGAAGGGCTTTGCGGGACGAGCTTGTCCCGCTTACCTTCACCTGCAATGGAGTGTAATGGCCCTCGCATGCAAGTAGTCCTGATGACCCGCTCTTTGTTCACAGTCCACCAAAGAGTTTCGGGACCGGGATGCCGTGCTGCAGGAACTGGAAAAACAGGGTGGCATCTGCGACTGCCAGGGATCCAGGTGGGCCGTGGAACCCCTCTTCTTCCTTCTCCCCTGGTGGAGGGTTGTACGAATATTTCAAATCTCTGACGTGCATTTGGTTAATCAGTTCAAGTTCTTGCACGTTTTTCCTGCTTAGAGCACGATAAAGGAGGCGAAAAGCAAGCCCGGAGGTAACCGAATGCAAAACTGCGCACAGAAGTCTGGATATGACGCAACCACTCCCCTCAGGAAAAAGAAAATGTCAACATTGTTTTACAGAAGTATGAAAACTTAGTTTATGATCAAAACCAGGGCACTGATACTACAGTAGTCCCTTGTTATAACGAAGTTAACGGAATGTTAAAACAGTATGATATAACTGGTAATTCGATAAAAGCGAGGGAGCCAAAAAAACGGTGACAGCGGCCTAGAAGGTAGATGCCCGGACAAGAGCGTGGTTGCGAAACTCGGCATAGATTTTTCGACGGGGAGGTCGACCAATCGACGAAAGGAGTGTGCGAGGAGGAGCTCGATCACCCCCGTGCACGGAGGCAGGGGAGCTTGCAAGTATTAGAGGCCCCGGAAGATCGCCGGGTTCATCGGCCTAATTAGTGGCGCTTCATTCTAGGCTCAGCTATTGAGTGTACATGTGGCACGCATTGAACTATCCGAGGAAGAGCGCTGCGGAAGTAGGCGTCCAGCGTCTGGAAACTCGGAGTATCGCTAAACGTTTTGCGTGTGCAACACAATTGCCCAGTGATTTTTTACGCTATTTTTTATGAACTGTAGTCGCCGACAAGAGGAGAATGAACTTCCCGCCTTCAATAACGCCTGGGCGTCTCCAGAGCGTCTAGCGAGCACATGGAGCCAGAGTGCGTCGGAAGGTGACGAGAGCACGCTCGAGGTTGGGTGTCCGAAAGAGACGGCTTGCTCCTCTCATTCCGACGGTGATCATGGAACTGTCGTTTTCACGGACGAGCACTTTCTGGCGTCGGGTTTTAGGCTGCACACGTGTGCAGGATAGTCCCAGAGGCCAGTAGGTCATGTCGTCAGAAACGCGACAAAATGTTGCTGCGATACACGAAGATATGCGGGAAACTTCTAAGAATGTTTGTCGCATGCGAATAGTGGATTTTGAGTTTGAAGCAGATTCGAAGAGAATAGCGGTTTTGGCCGAATATTCTCTATTCGAATGTTGAATGGTTTCTCCAGGCCTTTCACTATTGTTGCACTATGCTGATACGAAAGCCCAGCTAAACTAGTGAAGGTTGTTCCCAAGCTTCCACGTTTCCTTTTATAACCTAATATTAATCTAAGTAGATACATTTACGGACTGTGACCTCTGAAAGTCGTTTGGGATGGTTTTACATGACAGATTTTACATGAAATAAAACGTATAGAGATACTACCCAGCTGTACCTAAGTGAATTTGCAAACCTTGCTATAGGCTAATATTCTTTCTTCAATTACGAATTAAAAAAAAAAAGAATTATTAAAAAGAAATAATGCAGGTTGTCAGGGCATCTCCGCCTAACATACACTAGTAGAGTTTCTTGCCTAACATACACTAGTCCCACATAACAGCCCCAGTTTTATTTAGAAATTTTTACGGCAATCTAGATATCAACATTAAAGCAAAGTTTTTTTCCTTCGAAATACACTAGGCGCGCATGTACCGACCCGCTCTGAAAGTGTGCATTTGTTCCAATCACACAGTGTGGTATAGTGCGATTCACTTATATTGATACCACGCATGTACAGTGTAGACCGCATATAACGTATGTCTCGGGAGTCGCGAAAATCCGCACTATAAGCGGTACCGCACTATAACCAAAACGTCAATTTTTCAGGCCAAAATACATGCCATGAGACAACTTACCTTTGTAAAAGACTTTATTTTATGTTAGATGAAAAATAAAGCTTAGTTTGAGGAAAGTCTTTATATCACCAGACTAGTACAGTTCTGTCTCAAGTGTGTCACACATTTGAAAGAAATGAGCGGCTTTTGCCTGGCGCAGCCTTTTAACGGCGTCGCGGGTTGCGGACAGACGTTGCGAGCGTTCAGGATTGCTAACCCTAATCAATTTTCTCCGGAGATGAAAACGCGTGAAAATTCGCATCCTTCATACGGTACGCGCCAGTAATACCTTGAACTTTAGTACACGCATGAAATGCGCCAAATAAGAAATCCGGGCGATGTTCGAGGACACAAATGCTTAGAAATCACCACTGTAGTCGAAGTAAACAAACACGACGACACGGGCGTTTCTGCCATCTTGAGAGTGCCGCCACGACATCGCCGCACGAGTAGGTGGATCTTCCCTTCTAGTACGTGCTGGGTTATCATAGCGACACACAACGAAAATTCACAGTCAAGGATAGCGCTTTTACGCAGAACGATGAGATGCACGCCATCTACGACGACGATCACAACCGACGCCATGTTTGCGGAATAGAAGCAGCCGGTCCGCGACCGGCATGCAACGCGCGCGAACACTTCTCCTCGACCTGCGATTGGTGTGTCGTTGCGGTTGTTTGTTTCTTTGTTTCCAACGCAGCGGAGAGACGCACGCACGTGAACGACTCGTGCATGCGTCCCTCCGTCGCTATGGCAACTGAAGCCTCTCTCTTCGCTTCTCCCCGCGTTTTCGAGCAACTTCCTTGCCCCGCGAGTGCAGCTTGTGGCTCGCGCCGTCAGCGCCGTTATCTAGTGTCGCACAGGGAAGCGAGCTCGCTGCTCCGGTCGTCGGCGCGGTCGGCGGGCTGTGCCAAAAACCGCACTATAACCGGTATTTCCCTTCGCGCGCCTGCATTTTAAGCGGTATGTAATTACATGGAGTTCTATGGGAGGTAAACCGGTGGTTTAAAAAAACCGCGTTATACCCGGTCCTGCACTATAAGCGGTTACATTGTAAGTGGTCTATAGTGTATTGCTTATAATAATCTGTTTTTAGAGTTTCTTGTCTAGAAACGAGATTATAGTCCAGATACAACGATAATCAGTTGTAGCGATTGTTTAGCTTTTCTCGTTATCGTTATAAGTGAATTGCAGTGTATTCATACTTTTCCAAGTGTTGATTGCAGCGGGTTATCCCGTCGAGGTCGCTTTTTAGGAAGCATCGGTGCACTGCGGGGAAGCCACACCTGCAAAGCTCGCTTCCGCGGGTGTTACTTCTCCTCAGTGACCCCTTGCTGTGTGAGAAACGCACTCAACCGGGCTAACCCGCCATGATCAACGCTTGGAAAAATATTAATATCGGAAATATACCAAAAATACAAACTATACTGTTTAAAATTTCGAATATTTGCACAACACTAAAAGAGACATCATCTGCGTCGTCTTAGAAGGTTGCCAACAAAGCGAATCGAGTAACATTGCCTGGAACTCTTTCTGCGGCTCTTTTCTCTCTGGTTTCTTTCTCATTCTGTTCGGGTTCTCTCTCTCTCTCACTCTCTCTCTGTGGCCTGGGCTTTATCCAGAATGGTCAATGGGGAGGGTTATTGTACAGTTCTGGGATGGGCTCTTGGGGGTGAGGGGGGGAGTGGAGTGTTAATAGATTTCTGTACTTCATACAAGAAATTTGGTGTGGGAGGAGAGATATTGAAGTTTGTTTGGGGGTGTGTATAAATGTCCTTGTTGCTGCTTGCTAGCATCCACCCAGAGGCGTCTCCACTTTGTTTCACTCTTTATGCGAGCAAGGCCGAAGTTACGAACGCGAGTCTGTGTGCCTGGTTGGGAAGCTGAAAGCCCTTAGCTCTCTCTTTTCGTTTCTACCAGGCTCTCACTCAAACTAAGATGGGGTGCGGGTAATTTCTTGACCCTTTGTTTGTGTGTTGGCATCCTTCCTTTGCCCAGAGACACGATGATCTACGCCGCCTCGGCCGATGCGAGGGGTCTTGGACCCGTGGTCAAGCTCCTGGGGGACGTCGTCCTCAGGCCCCTTTTCAAAGAAGAGGAGGTAAGATCACTCCCAAGCTCAATCGGCCTTCGTTTACTCGGAAGGGATCGCGGATGTCATCGCCACCATCATAGTCATCTGTTTTTGTATCCACAAACAACCAAAGGTCCTTTTACCTTTGAACTCGTGCGGCGTTGAACCTAAAAAAGTTTAACTTGGAGGGTCAGCGTGAAAAGCGAAATAATCTAATCAGTTTTAATGAAGCTGTCCAAGGAACTAAATGGTGACCTATCGAGTCGTCGCCACAGATGAGTGTAGAAAACCAAATGTCAGCGTGACTGAAAATCCTGTGTCGGTTTCCTTCTTCGATATAGTTTTCTCTCCTCCTAATGCAGTAGCGTCGGGATTCGTCCGTTACAAAGAGTGAATTAAGCTGGGTGTGTGTAGACTGTTGGTTGCTGTGTGGTTTTTCTTGAGGGTTATTTGAGGTTTCTGGTGGCTCAATAACCACCGCTGTGGCAGTTTTGACCAATAAGAAGTTCACCTTCACCCCCAGCGGTAACAAACCCCGGAATGGCAAATAATTGGATATAACTAGGGTTCTGTGTTTTCGGATAAATCCGAAAAACACTCGCCAGTAAATTTTTCATCAATTAGGATTTGTCCAAAAAACTCTAAATTTCAAGGCCATAATGACAAAAAAGAAAAAAAAGACGAAGTTCAGAAATGAACTTTATAAAATTGCAAGATCAGGGTACAGGGGAAATGAAACTTTAATTTTCTTTGAAATCAAACTACTGGTAGAAGGAGTTTGCGTTTTACTTCGTCAAGGTTAAAAATTAGGAAAATGGTAAGATTTACTCTGAATTTTAGAGAATTGGGAATCTAACAAAAACTCTGATGAATTCCAATTTTTCAGCAAAAAATAAACTCCAAAAAACATCCGAATATCATGGGAAATAAACTCCGAAAACACGGAACCCTAGATATAACGAACCAATTTTTGTCACACACTCCCGCTGGTATGCCTTCAAAGTAACTTTAGCTCACTTTTAACAAACTGGAGCTGGCACTGCACTTATAACGATGATCTAAATTGCAAAAGCTGCAGTAAACAAATCAACATCACTTTGATTTTATACATAATGTCAGAACTATACGGAGTTCTTTTTCAGCCGAGCTTAGCTCTGTGTAGATATTTAGATGGCTTGAAATGAGAAAGTCTCAAAATTGCATCTCGTGCGTCAGCAACGAAGATGACAATCTGGCCGATGCAGTATAACCAGGGTGTGCATTTTCCGGTTTTAACCGAAAAACACCGATAAACAACCGTCGGTGACGAAAATATAAAATCGGTTAAAACCGAAAAACACCGGTGGTTGGATATTTTCACCCTGGTTAAAACCTAAAAACACCGGTCGTTGCTAGTTTCCGACCTAGCGAAACCCTTTCCCCGTAGAGGTTCGTCAAACGTGTTATCTCGTGGATCCTGCATTCTTCCAGTGCTTATACATGGCTTGCAGGTGGCGTCAGTCCGCCCTCCTTTCTGGGGGTCAAAAGCGTCTAGTGAACGCAGTGGAAGCTAAGCTCTCATACGCCTTTCCCCTATTGTGTCTCCATGGCCCCCTTTTGTGGAAAAATTAACGCAGTGGAGGGTAGGCTCTCACGTGCCTTTTCCTCATTGTGTCTGGCCAAGTGATGTCGGTGCAAGCCATGTATTCAGAGGTTGCTGTGGTTCCTGGAAGACACTGCCAACGTCTGTGTCGTACAGGAGCGTGCGTTTTCATAATTGCGGGTTGCGAACCGCAAGGAACGTGGTGCCATGAAGGCATCATGTTCCTTACGTGTAGATGCAAGCATAAAAGTATGCTTGCATCTACTATAATAACCAAGTGTTAGAAATAGTTGCTTCCTAGAGAAGAAGTGTATGAACTATGTGAATAAAATTGGAACTCTCTTTCTGTGATCAATCGCTTTTTTTTTCACCGATATTCACCGATTTTAGCCTCGTCGTGAGACGTTCCACCGAAATACACTGGTGTCTTGAAAATAAATAAACACCGAAAAACATCCGCCGATTTTTCTCACAAATAAACACCGGAAAGTACACACCCTAAGTATAACCACTCGCCCGGCCTCTTCAGCACGTCCCACGTAATTGCACAAGTGTATGCTGATAGGGTGGCCCATCCATGTAGGAACTGACAGAACTAAGATTCGACCAGTGTCTACATACCATAGAATACCGCGCATCCAGCCATTCCACAATAAGCACCCATTCCCAAATTTGTAAGATCTGAGGGAATATGCAGAGTAGTACATTGATATGTAAAGTCAATGCCCGGACGAGCGCCCATCCCCCATTTTTTCGCGATTATCTCTGAATTTTGAGTGCGTGCTTGCCCGGTATTTTAAGGTGTACCTGCAGCGTGAGCCTGCATTCCACATGCTGCCAAGCTACACCGCATAAAATCCCAAACACTTGTTTTTCGGAGGAAAGTTGGCGGAGTTGGTTCTTCAAGAGCCTCTGTCCCAGACGTGTCTGCCAATAGACCCCTTCCGAAATTCAGTTCCATCTGGTGCCTGAAAGGGTGGTCTAACTTTTGCCATACTAATGGCATCAATGAATCTGCAGCCTACAGTATTTTATCGGGCACTCTCACATTTGCAAGTCATTGGCAAATGAGTGTGTGCTCGTCACTGTACAGTTCTTTCTCGATCATCTCTTTCAATGTCGATGGCCACGAAGATGCAGTCAGTCGGAACGAAGCGCCAACCCAGATAGACACTTTGATAAAGTTCTAAACATCAAGGGGCTTTGAAGTTGATTCTGTGCCACTAACAGATGGACTGGGGCCGAGTTATAAAAATAAACGCTTACGCAGCTCTTGCATTTAATTCCGGCTTCGCATCGTGCTAATGTCTCGAAGCCTCAGCTTAGGAGTATCTCTAACATGTTCCTTCATTATTAAACAGAAGGCCGCCATTATAGCACGGCACATATGCCATTTTTCAGATGATGATGGTAGTGGTCAAAGTGGCCAGACTGAATTTGGGAAAGGGTATAAACCGTTGTTTTGCGTAATTTCGATTGCACTTTTCTTAAACCGTTATAGATAAGGAGCTTGTCCGCAGTAAGGGAACCCTGGCGAACATGCATTTGCTCTCTCTTCCCAGGTGGAGAGGACACGGCAGACGATCCAGTTCGAACTGGAGGACATCGATATGAAGCCAGATCAGGAGCAGCTCCTCTTTGAAATGATCCATGCCGTAAGTGGGCAGTTTTCCCAGTTCACTCCGAGCGGGATGCGATGTGGGCGCTAATCGAAGCATTCTTTTGGGCGGTAGCATCAACAGCAGCCAAAGTCGATTAATCGAGCCCCGCAGGAATCCTTTTGCCAATGCCGTTATCTAAAGGGTTTTGTCGTGACAGCACGCATTACAAGCGGAAGTTGGCGCATTCTTGTTGACACTAAAATGGGACTTGGAGCTGCAGTCGATTCCGTTGATAACAAATTTTTTCTGATGCGCATACCTATTACTGTACTGTCGCACCCGTTTACAACAAAGACTGTTGTAACTAGGGGTGTGCGAATATTTAAATTTTCTAATAGGAATATTAGAAAGAAATAGCTTTGAATATTGAATACTGTAAACAACTTTATTTTTGCGAGTTTTGTGAATCGCCTATAATTTGCCAAAAGTAGGTCCCACAAACGATTCCGGTGAAATATAAACACATTGAATCTATATTGAGATTCCGCCGCGTCGTGAAAATTGGAACCTGCGAATTACATATTCCCAAGCTTCAGGTTTGACCTAAATCGCGAAAAATTTTCCCCGTGAAAAATAAGTTGTTTACAGTATGTTTAAAATATGTGTGTACCATTTAGAAACGACAAAAGAAAATATGGAAATACTTTTCTTTTTTACCTTCAAACCCAAAAAAGATGTTAACGAATTCCAGTTAATAAAACTACCTGACTAGGCAGCATATAAGCAATGCAGCTGATAACACAGCTATTATACCTTGACTAGTCATCATCTGTGAACTATACATGAAAGCAGACGAAAGGTGCGACCGATAAGTTATACAGATTGACAAAACTAAAAGTGTACAAAACTGCACATGTTTAGATAGCATGCAAAAATGCAGCCTCTAATGTTGTCACACGAACAAGTGGTAATGACCGTTTTTTAAGAAAATAATTGAAATTGCCCTTGACTAGCCAGCAAGTTAGATATCAGCTGCTGATGCTATTATTGCAAATTATCATGCAAGAAAATAATTGTTCCACATGTTCTGTACATAAGCACTTCCTTTTCTCTGCGAAGAAGCACTCCTGTAGCAAGATAATATCAGGTCATTAGAAAAGTGACTTACGATGCAGACTTGGCAAAACGAAAACCAAAACTGCTCCTTCGTTGTGAGCTAGCGCGTACTGTATTTGTACCATTGTAATGCACGCTTTTTCATCAAAATCGATGCCCCAAAGGTCATGTGTGTTACGATCAAAATCAAACACCGAAAGTGGCTAACCCCATCGCCATCATAACCGTTTGTTTACATTCGCCATTTTGGTATCCGTATCACGCGCATTCTCTTGCATCTGTAAACTCCTGTCTGCCGTTTTAGAATGGAAAACCAAGGGAAAACCAAAAGAAATTTAGACTAAAGGTCATCACGTTGGCGGGAAAGATAACAACAGAGCAGCACTGCATGGCCTCGCAATCCCAGCGGCCCGACGAGCTCGTAAAGGATTGTTTGGAAGACGAGGCGACGGTCCCAGAGGCGACAGTCGCGCACTCGTACAATCACAAGAATCGCGGCCCCTTAAACGCTTTAGACGAAGGCAAGGACTTTACCTCTGTAGGCCTCGAAGAACCATCGTCAGACTCGAACAATGGTGACTAGTGCACTGTATTTATTTTCCTGTTAGCTTGCATTTCATAAAATATGTTCTGAGGTATGTGTACGGCCTTCATTATTTTACCTGTGTGGGAGAATCGGCAGCAATTTCTTGAATATCTGGCAGTTAAATCTGCCTGCGCGTTAGAATGGGGGGCGTTTTAGGATCGTGCAAAGGCGATAGTTCTTTGTATAGTGTAGACGGTGAGGGTTTATAGAAAGATGGCTACAATACCCGTAATTTTGGGCAACTAAACGCGGCTTTTAAGGAAGCTCTTAATGTTCAGGCATGTTCCGCGCGCAGATTATTCGGTATTTGCCCGAATATTCATACATTGTTCGTGCTAGCGGCAGGGTACCAACGGAGACAGCCTTGATTTAAGGGAGGGAGTGACTCCAACCACGGAGATCATTTGCATATTAATGGCAGATGCCCCCGGGCAGTTTGGCGCAAGGGCGCCTGATGGTCGACGCTGCCGCGGTACAGGCAAGTGTGAGGAGTGTGTATTTGTTGATTTTCGATTACTGCCCACTGCCCCATGGGGCAAAGGGTCACTATCGCCTTGCCGTGCCCAGTTCGTTCGACGTCCAGTGAGCTGTCGTTCCCCCGTACCCGACCGTACACCATTCAGAGTCGTCCTTGCGCAGACCGAACGCCTCGTAGGCGTTGTTCGAGCTTCGTTACCAGTGGGTAGAGACTCCATCCACAGAGGCGAGTCGATCGTCTAAAAATCTTTGCTTTCTGCCGCCGTTGAGGGTGCGGCGTTCAGGGGTTCGGCCATGTTGCCGCCGTCACGGGTGGGGAGCCCTGCTCCCGGCTAAGCCTAACTCGGCGAGCTAAGCCTACGCTGGAACGGCTAGGGGCTTAAAAGGTCGAATGAATGTATTTCGCCCCAACATTCTTACAAGGGGGGAGGGGAAGAAGATGGTTCACTAACCGTAGCAAAAGATCAGGGCGATGATTGGTGTACGTAGGTGCAAAATTTTCGCACTTGCCAGCTTCCAAAGAGTGGAGCGATGAAAAACTTGCAAAGGCCCACGTAAAATCAACGTAGGAAAGGCCTGGGTCGGTGCAGTGGCAGTTACATGCAATATCGACTGAGCTGTGTAGCACAGCTTCTCTTGAAGAGTGAACGATTCAAAATGTGTCGGCGAGAGTGGCATGTTATGAAATAAATAATAAATATATTTAGGGGCGGATTGAGAGGGGGTCTGCATGTCCCGAGTCCCCTCTTGATTTTTGCATGTGTAAAATTTAGCGCTTGAAACATGGGAGTGGGGGAGGGGGTTCCTAAACATATGGTACGCTGACCAACACCTGACCCCCCCCTCAGGAAATTCCTGCATCCGCTTCTGAATATATTATTAAAAATAAATGAACAAAAGACAGCTAAAATAAAATGCTTCAAAAAGAGGATAAAATAAATATAAAAAAAAAAGATACTAATTAAAATTAAAATAAATCTAGCACAAATGACAAATGGAGGAGCATGGTTTATGTGAAACCCATTTCTTTGTCAGCATAACGAAGCTTGTATGATTTTTTTAACCTTCCTCGAGGGTGCATAGAAAAGCCCGGACGTGTAGCTCGTATTGCTTGCTGAGAGGGTGCCTCTCCCTTCCTCGTTCCTGCAGGCGGCATACACGGACAACACCCTGGGGCTGCCCAAGCTGTGCCCCCGGGAAAACCTGGGAGTGGTGAACAGGGAGGTGCTGTACACCTTCCTGAGCCACCACTACGTGCCCCAGAGAATGGTGGTGGCGGGGGTCGGGGTGGAGCACGGGCCCCTCGTCGAGATGGTGCACAGGTGGGTTGCCCTCTAGTTGCGAGCTGGAGAGTTCCTCCGTTCGTATCATAAATTAGGCTTTCACCCTGCATCTCATTAAAGACGTAGAATATCTAGGCACGCTTTAATAGTGGAGTTTGACATCGAAGCGAATGGTGGTTTTGGCCAAATATTTTTGAATCTAATATGAAACAGTTCCTCTAAACCTTTTGGTACTGTAACATGCGTAAATGAAAACCCAGCTGAACTTGTGAAGGTTGTTGCCAAGCCTCCACTTGTCCATTTCTAAGATAGGTTAATTTTGGTCTAACTACAGTGTAGACCGCATATACTAACGTATGTCACGGGAGTCGCAAAAATCCGCACTATAAGCGGTACCGCGCTATAACCAAAATATAAATTTTTCAGGCCAAAACACATGCCATAAGACAACTTACCTTTGTAAAATAATTTATTTTATGTTAGATGAAAAATAAAGCTTAGTTTGAGGAAAGTCTTCATTTCACCAGACTAGTGCACTTCTCTCTCAAATGTGTCACACATTTTGAAAGAAATGAGCGACTTTCGCCTGGCGCAGCCTTTTAACGGCGTCGCGGGTTGCGGACGGACGTTGTGAGCGCTCAGGATTGCTAACCCTAATCACTTTTCTCCGGTGATGAAAACGCGTGAAAATTCGCATCCTTTATACGGTACGCGCCAGTAATACCTTCAACTTGAGCACAGGCATGAAATGCTCCAAATAAGAAATCCGGGCGATGTTCGAAAACACAAATGCTTAGAAAGCACCACTGTAGTCGAAGTAAACAAACACAACGACACGGGCGTTTCTGCCGTCTTGAGAGTGCCACCACGACATCGCCGCACGAGTAGGTGGATCTTCCCTTCTAGTATGTGCTGGGTTATCATAGCGACACAACGCAAATTCACAGTCAAGGAAAGCGCTTTTACGTGGAACGATGAGCTTCCACCACGCCGTCTACGTCGACGATCACAACCAACGCCATGTTTGCCGGTAGAAGAAGCCGGCCCGCGATCGGCATGCAACGCGCGCGAACACTTCTCCTCGACTTGCGATTGGCCTGTCGTTGCGGTTGTTTCCAACGCAGCGGAGGGACGCACGCACGTGAACAACACATGCATGCGTCCTTCCGTCGCTATGGCAACTGAAGCCTCTCTCTTCGCTTCTCCCCGCTTCTTCGAGCAACCTCCTTGCCCTGCGAGTGCCGCTTGCGGCTAGCGTCTTGGGCTGACGCCGTTATCTAGTGTCGCACAGGGAAGCATGCTCGCTGCGCCAATTGGTAGGCGCGGTCGGCAGGCTGTTCTAGAAACAGCACTATAACCGGTATTTCCCTTCGCGCGCCTGCATTTTAAGCGGTATGTAATTACATGGAGTTCTATGTGAGGCGAATCGGTGGTTTAAAAAACCCGCGTTATACCCAATCCTGCACTATTAGTGGTTACGTTGTAAGTGGTCTATACTGTATATTTATTGACTGCGGCCTCCGAATGTTCAAGGCCTACATTGGGATGGCAAGTAAAGACTCATTTGACATAGAATTTAAACCTACCAGGATGCCCAACTATGCCTAATAGAGGAAATTTATAATATTCTTGCTATATGCAAATATGTCTTCTTCATTCATGTATGATTAGTGCAGGTTGTCTGGACATCTCTGCTTAAACTACCATATTTACTCTATTCTAAGCACGCCCTTTTTTTTTACACCCACAATGTTCAAAGAGGGGGGGGGTGCTTAGATTCGGAACATGCCCCAAAAATACGAAATTTGCACAAGAAATATGAATTTATTATAATCAAAATGAAAGAATAAATGTTCTAAAGGAAATAAAGACTGGAGAGTAGCCCGCTTGCCATCAGTTTGCACCACGGTCGACTAGTCGCTCTCGCGACTAGTCATTTGAGGATGATGTAGGTAGGGTGCAAGTTTCTCACCTTCGGCTGTGATGCACAGCATTGCAGTCGCCCTTCGCTTCTCATAGCCAGTCGTACGCACTTTTACTTCTCGGGCACCTACTTCGTTCACGGTGCACATCCTTGGCGTGTTGATGTACACAGGGGTCTCATTGGCATTGCCGATCTGCCCGAGTCCGTAGCAAGATTCGCGATGCAGCTTCATCACATATTGTGGAAGTTGACAAGCTTGTCCTCGAAGTCCAGCGGTAGCTTCTGGCAGATAGTGGTGCCGCGTCTCAAAGAGAAACCGTCCCTCTTCATCATCCGCTCCACCCAGCCTCGGCTTGCGTGGAACGCCTCACTCAGAACTGTTCAGCAGCGCCGTGATTTCTGTTTTCTTCCGCGTAAGAAATAACCATTCTCTTGAACTTCATCGTGTATGAAGTTCTCTTTGCGCTTATGACGGACGATTTCCGCGAACCACGGGCACACAGTGAACGGAATAGGATTGCGAGGCCAACACGGACGAATAGGCTTAACAGGCTAAACAACCGACTGCTACAAGCGCTAGGAGACCAAACAGACAAAACTAGGGATGGGCGAGTATTCGGTTCTTATGAATAGCCAATCGAATTCTGTTCTATTTGGCATTCACTTCGAATGGAATTTAAAGGCAACTCGGCCAAAACTCGAAATGAAAGAAATTACTTGTACCGCTGTAGTGACACAAAATACTGTCACGGGTGGTGACCAATAAACAAGAAATAAACAGGAATAAATAAACGTTTAATGTGGCGAACTTGTGCCAAAAATAAAAGGGTACAAAAGATAATAAGAGAGCGTTGCGGGCGTCGAAGTCGGCGTAACAGCAGAGTCGAACGCTGGGGCAAAAACTGACTCCGCTCGCCTTGCGGAATCCCTTATGTACCCTCGTGGGTTTCTGGGTCGTTCGGCGTAGAAGGTTCGGTGTGTAGAACATTCTAACCTCGAATCAGCAAGACGGTTTTCGAATTCACTAGAACATCAAATTACATTGTCAACAAAAATGTGTAGTCGCGGCCAGGAATCGAACCCTGGCCTTCTGCGTGGGAGGCAAGCGCGATAACCGTTAGGCCACGCGCGCGCTGCCTACTTGGCCAGCTGCGTGCGCGGCATTACTCCCCCCTTTAAAAAGTGCATCGCCCCGATGCAACACAAAAACAAAACGAAGCAAATAAAACAACGGTAAACTAAAGGGTCATTTGGAACACATAAGGTCCACAGTCCTATCGAGCGTAATACGGCTTCAGTCGCACGACGTGGACGACCTCAGGTCGTGGTGGGCGGCGTGACGATGTTCTTGTTCCGTCGGGCATCACCTCGTAGTTCAGCTCGCCGAGGCGACGAAGTACCTTGTATGGTCCAAAGTACCGTTTCAGCAGTTTCTCACTGAGGCCGCGGCGACGGATGGGCGTCCATACCCACACCCTGTCTCCGGGCTGGAAGTGAACGTCCCTGCGACGAAGGTTGTAGCGGCCCGCGTCGACGCGTTGCTGGTCTTAAACCATGAGTCGGGCGAGCTGGCGGACTTCTTCTGCGCGTTGAGCAACCGCCTGGGCGTCGTCGCTTTCATTGTCAGATGGCTCATGGGGCAGCATTGCGTCCAGCATGGTCGTTACCTTCCGACCATGTACCAGCTGGAAAGGTGTGAATCCAGTGGTCTCTTGAACCGCCGTATTGTAGGCGAACGTGACGTAGGGCAACACCTCGTCCCAAGTCTTGTGCTCAACGTCGACGTACATAAAGATCATGTCGGCGATTGTCTTGTTGAGTCGCTCCGTCAGCCCGTTGGTCTGCGGGTGGTATGCGGTGGTACGACGGTGGCTGGTGTGACTGAGCCGGAGAATTTCTTGGGTCAGCTGTGCCATGAACGACGATCCGCGATCTGTAATCAGAACTTCGGGAGCGCCGTGCCGGAGGACAATGGAATCGAGGAAAAACTTGGCGACTTCAACCGCAGTCCCCGAAGGAAGGGCTTTCGTTTCTGCGTACCGCGTGACATAATCTGTGGCGACGATTATCCAACGGTTTCCCAGGGTCGACGGCGGAAAAAAACCAAGTAGATCCATTCCGATCTGCTGAAACGGTGCAGTTGGCGGAGGAATTGGCTGCAGGAGACCTGCCGGCTTTGTTGGCGGTTTCTTGCGTCGCTGACACTCGTGGCAGGATCGGGTGTAGTGGTGGACGGTTTTGGGGAGCTTGGGCCAGTAATACATTTCACGAATACGGGCCACTGTCCTGCTGTATCCAAGGTGTCCGGATGTCGGGTCGTCGTGACATGCTTGAAAGATCTCCTCTCGAAGGTCGGTCGGGATTACCAGCAGCCACGGCGAGTTGTTGTCCCCGAAGTTCTGTTTGTAGAGTACACCTTGTCGAATGGCGAAGGTTGGCAGGGCTCGTGAGAAAACACGGTGCACGGTACTCACGCGCCCTTCCAGGTGCTCCATTAAGGTGCGCAGCTCCGGATCGTCTCGTTGACGTCGTGCCATGTCATCGGTGTTCACTGCCCCTAGGAAGCACTCGTCATCGTCGTCGCTGCTGCCGGGAGGTGTTTCGAGAGGGGCCCTCGACAGGCAGTCAGCGTCGCTGTGCTTGCGTCCCGACTTGTAAACCACAGTCATGTTGAACTCTTGTAGCCGGAGGCTCCATCGAGCGAGGCGTCCTGACGGGCCCTTGAGGTTCGCAAGCCAGCAGAGCGAGTGGTGGTCCGTGACTACGCGGAACGGGCTTCCGTACAAGTACGGACGAAACTTCGTAATTGCCCAGACGACCGCAAGGCATTCTTTCTCAGTCGTGGAGTAGTTTCTCTCTGCCTTGGACAGTGTCCGACTTGCGGAGGCGATGACTCGCTCGGTGCCTTCTTGTACTTGAACTAGGGGTGTGCGAATACTCGAATATACGAATTCGAATCGAATAGAAGGTTCCCGAATAATTCGATTCGCGAATCGAATTCCTAGTATTTGGTCACTCGAATATTCGATATATTCGGCCAAGGACGCGCGGTCGCCGCGGAGCTGACAAAAAAAGCCGTTTTTCCCCCCGATGTAAGCGCCGTGTTGTTAGACAA